CTTACAGGATCAGGAAAGTGTCCTCCATAAAATGTGCTGCACACATCTGAATATTTGGGTTGAACTGTTCTGGAACAGTGTTGTAAATACAACTTAACCACTGATTTCTAGTCGTGTCCTCTTTTGGAAGGCCAAACAAAGTAGTTTCGCCTTCACGACGAAACACAGCGTCACACATGGCGGCCTTGAGGGAGCGGCGGCGGGCGGGCTTGCGGCAACCACATGTGACGACCCCGGGCTGGACTCCGCTTCGTCCACGGTGAAAGCCGATCCGGTTTTCAAAAGTAGTTTCGCTTTCTACTTTTAAAAACAAAGTAGTTTCGCGGAGCGTGTTAGAACGAGTCGTTTTAGGTAGGAGTGGTTGACTCTTAACTTTTATAAAGAATATCTCTTTGGATTTGAGACTTTAGTCTTCGCAACTTTACAGATCTTCTTTGTGCACCAAGAGCTTGTAATCGCATCATATGACCCCTTTAAAAATACATATATATCTCTTTTTTACTCTCTCCCTCAACCTTGACCTCAACTTAGTAGTGTTGTTTATACACTTTTGTAGAAGTTAATTTTTTTTTTTCATTTTATTTTATTGACTTTAAGTAATTTTGTTATGTCATTTTTATTATTATTTTATATTTCTATTTAGTTTTATTTTATTCTAATTTGATCTAATTTTAGTTTTCAGCTTTATTTTAATTACAAAAAGTTTTTTTTTTAAATAGATCTAGTTAACAATTACACTTGTAATGTGATGTAATGGTTCATTGCTATTGTAAATATTCACTGGGTAACAGCAAAAGAGGAGTGTTTTGAGGCCTATAAGATTCATCAACAGGGAAACAGGTCCTCAGTCGCCAAAGGGAAGACTTACTGACCCCTCTATTGTTGTTACACCTCCCCAGAGAAATGTCCCACAATGGGATCCTCTGAATTAAGAACTAAACCACTCTGACATATTTCAACATGTTCAGCCAACCATGGCAACAAAAGTGGTCATGTAGCCAGCAATTCTCATTACCTGAACACCTCTTCAAAAGGCATGTTTGGTCAGTCTAGCTAGAATTACCATAGCAGAAAAAAATGTGTTGGTGTTTATAACTGTACGTGTCTACACATACAAAAAGCTCAAATTAGTCTCCAGAGGCAGGGATGACCTCTTTTTCTGGTGCATTGTATATCACGCAGCGAGTGGCAAGGCCTTGGTAATGTTTTATTGTCACAAGGGATTGTTTCACACTGTGGAGTGCCCTAGGTGTATGTTTTGTGCTGCTCTCTAC